GGGGAACTGGGCCCTGCAGCATGGGGCAGGGTCGCTGGGGGCCATCGCAGCATTTCTTTCCCGAGAGGGTGGTCAAACACTGCAACAGGCTTCCTAGAGAGCTGGACGATGCCCCAAGCCCGTCAGTATTCGAGGGGCATTTGGACAATGCCCTTAACAACAGGCTTCAACTTTTGGTCAGCCCTGCAGTGGTCAGGCAGTGAAACTAGATGATTGTTGTAGTTCCCTTCCAACCAAAATATTCCATTCCATTCCAACCTCCTCTCCTCTGCTTCACAAATGACAAGGGATGGGCACAACCCTGGGGCTCTAAGGGATGACGGACCTGGCAGACCAGGCACAGCCACCTACAGCACAGGCCAGCAAGGGCAGGGACAAGGTGTTGACCACCATCAAACGGGGAGAGCAGAGACTCATAACTGGCCCTTGCGATGGCAGGAAGTTTTTGGATCACTTGCCCATGGATCCATGTCACCAGACACCATAGCTGCTGCTGTCGTAGCCACCACAGTAATAGACAGCCTCGTCCTCGGCTTGGACCCCAGTGATGGTTAACGTGCCCGTGGAGCCAGATGTAGATCCGGAGAATCGCGAAGGGATGTCCGAGGGTCTCTTGTTGTTAGTATAGATCACAGTGACAGGGGCGCTGCCAGGAACCTTCTGCTGGTACCAGCCAACAGCATTGGTGCTGCTAACACCGGAGCAAGTGATCTGGACGGTTTGTCCCACGTTCGCTGACACGGAGGGTGGCTGAGTCAGCGCTGCCTGGACCAGGGAACCTGGAGAGGAAAAGGAGAGAGGGGAGAAGACGAGGGTCAGCCAGTGCCCCACCAGCACAGCCCGCCCCGGGCAGTGGGACAGGGAAGAGACCCCTGTGCTCAAAGGCCCCGGATGGGTGCAGCAAGTCTGGCCAGGGCACCTGAGCCGTGGGCGAGCAGTGTAAAGAGGAGAGGGGCTCAGGCCATGGCACGATCCCACCAGCTCCACATCCCCCCAACGACTGGGTGTTGCCATGGACCCCGATTTCCTTTTAAGCCCCCACGTGCTCAGGCACAGCCCCTCCATGCCAATGTGGCCCCACAATGTTCCCTGGCAGCTCCTGTCCCAGTGCTCCCCCTGCCCACTGCAGGCACATCTCTTGCCCACCAAAGGCACCAAGATCATGCTGGGCTGCCTGCTCCGTGGGCCACTCAGCTGGGAAAACCAGGTCCTGCTTCACACCAGGGCACCACAACCAGGTTTCTCTCAGGAGCCACAAGACTATGACCGCTGGACCGGGGTGTCCAGGCAAATGCTCCTCAACTCTGGTTTTGCCAAATACAACCTCAGCCAAGACACGGGCCGAGGGACGGCAGGAACGCTTTTCTACCTTGCCTTGCTGAAGCATCCTCTGCAGCCACCTTTGCCCAGCCTGTGACCCTGGCATCACCCACCCACCCTTAGAACATCCCTCTGCCGCAGCACAGCTCCTCCAGCCGCGCTCCCCTTCCCCTCCCGCTTCTCCACAGGGCTCCACACCCACGGCTGGTCCAGCACCGCACCAGCACCACCACTGCAGGCTGGTGCTCCGAGACCTCCCTGGCCAGGGGCCACGATGGCTCCGGCACCACGGACGCTCCCACTTCTCAGAAGCACCACAGGGACGAGGAGCAGCGCTCCGGCCTCTGCTACCTGTGGAGCATGAGGGCAAACGCCCAGCTCTGCGCACCGGCGCAGAGCTCTCCACGCCGCTCTTCCCAGACCTGCCTCTGCCTTTCCGTGCTACCCTAAGCAGGAGGTGGGATGAGCCTGCCGAAGCAGAGTCCTTGGGCATCTCTGACAGAGCCCAAAATGTTTCAGGGCCGCGTCTCGGGAAGAAAACGGCAGCTTCCCGTCCTCCCTCGCAGCCCCCTCACACCAAATTCCAGACCCCCTTCACCTCTTAGAAGCATAATGAACAGGACCCGCATGCCCAAAGAAAGGAATTTATTATTCTATATGGCCATTGTTTTACAGAAGAGCTTCAGTGCCAAGCTACCACCACCACCCTCTGTGACTCCCTTAGGCCAGGGACACAGCAGCTCCTCCTTAGACACAGGGCATTTTCCACAGGCCTCTTAATCAGCAGTTTCTTCTGCTTCACCTGCAGGTTGGGAACCAAGACTAACGTTTTCTCACAAGCTCACGAGCAGTAGAGCGATGCGGCTGCTCTACAGCCCAACACGCCGCAGCAGCAGCACCCCCCCGTGGCCTGCCTCCCCTTCGACTTCACCAGAGAGACAAGGAATGCGAGGCGGGGAGAAGCCAACGAGCAGGTTTGAACGTCATTCAGTACTTCTTGAAGTCAATTCTTTCTACTTTCACATCACCCTCAATCAGTTGGTATACATAAGTCACAACTGTGGAAGCCTGGATGTCCATCAGTACAAACGAAGGGATGATGTTCCTGGAAAGAAAACATACTTTGTCAGTCTTCCCGGTTAGCTCACGCTTCTTGCTATTACAGACCTTCTGCTTATGTATTCTAATACACTGCATTGCCAAGGGCTGCAGGGATCTGGGAAACACCGCAGTTCGCGGGTACTGACAACAGCGTCTCAGGCAGAGTTACACTCAGCCTACAACAGCCCTTGAGGCTACTCAACAGTCTACGTCGTGTCAGGCTCAGGCATTTAAGCCGACAGTGCCTCCAGAAGTCTGATTTCCCGCCAAATATTAGGATGCAGCCTCTGTGAAGACACCAGAAAGCAAAACGCCTTCAAGAAGCTGCTGCAACTCACCCCTCTCTGGGCCCAGGAAGAAGCCCCAGACACTCCAGTGCTGGGCTGCCATGCCCAACACGTGGGCCAAGACAAACCCTGGGAGCAGGGGAGCCCTGCTGCATACCTTGGGAAGGGAGAGGGCTGGCCTCCTGCTCCTTCACGGCACCTCACCAGCGCTCTGCAGCATGGTGGCCAGACACTCACAGGTGAATTAATGCATTTCAGGTAACGCCTATGGGCTCTGCTGCACTGGGCAGATCAGGGCCCCCCTCACTCACGTTTCCAAAGCACTGTAGGCTCCTGTAGCTGATCCCGGGTTGATGTAGAATTTGTTTTCATGTTCAAATGCTTCAAATCTGTGCGTGTGTCCCGAGATGAGAATGTCCACATCCAGCTGCCTCTGCAGCAGTGCCAGGCTGGCTGCATCGCCCCAGGGAATAACTTGATGGCCGTGAATCAGCCCGATTCTGAACTGCTCAACAGTTACAACCTTCTCTTCAGGATAATTCAGGCTCTGAGAAGGAGAAAGGCACCGCCTATAAATCAGCCAGAGACCCCTCACCTATGCAATGCTGGTTCCCATGTTCCAAGACATGAACCCTCTTTTCACCATTTGAGCGCACAAGGTCCCTTTCAGCATGCAGACCCACCGGATGCTTGTACCACACTCCAGCAAGAGCAACTACAGAGCAAAGAGCGGGGAATTTGCACAGAGATCAGGAGCCTCAAGGCTACCCAACAGTAAACAAATATACACACAAGCCTCCTGTAGTTTCTGCATCTACACAGCCAGCTGGGGGACTCCAGAGGCCTCACAGCAATTACAGACAGGTTTGTGACTGAGTTCATATGAAACAAGTGCATGTATTACCCCCCCAATCCCCCCTGTTGCAAGTGCAACAAGAAGGGTCTAAAAAAATTTTTGTTTTTTCAGTCTTACTCATTCCTACTTCCTATCCTGGTGAATTACAGTTCAGGAATTGCTAGTGCTGAAGGACTCCCCAGGTTTCATCGAGACAACCACCACATGCAGGAAGGCAGGCTGAGGAATTAACAGCAGCAAAAACGTTACCTCAGAGTCCCCCCTAACAACATGGATGTCCCCAGCCAGTGTCCTGAGGTAGTCATAGCTCTCCTTGGTGCAGAGGTTTCCTGTACACAAGATGTGCTGAATCTTTCCTGGAACCAGCAGCTTCTTGAACTTCACCGGTAGACCACTACACCGGTGTGGGATGTGAAGGTCCCCTAATACTAACACCAACTTTGCACGCAGCAGGAGGAAAGAGAGTGTTTTAACCCAAGTTACTTAACAGAACAGCACAAAACCTTTTTTGCCGCTCCAGGGGGCTTGCAAAGTCTGGCAAACCATTACAGGCCCAGCAGGGATTTCTTTCAGGTTCAGCTTTGAGGAAACAACCCCTCAGCATGCCCAAGCTGCCCCGCACAGACAGCCCAGCCTGCTCCCACCCGGGGAGAGCCAGGCACTCCCACTCCCGCACGTAGCCGGAGGTGAGGGAATGCGCTGCCCGGGGGAAGACCAAGACAGCGGTCGCCGCCGCCGCAACGGGGCGAACTGAGCCAAGCAGCCGCCCCACGCTGAACCTGCGGGTTCAGGGCCGCTCCCCCGGCCCGGCGGCGGTGTAGGGAAGCGGCCGCGACCCCCCTTGGCCGCCGCTCACCATCCTGCTCCTCCACGCCGCTCCGTTACTCTGACGCGCACTGAGGTAACCAGGGCGTGACGCGCCGCCTTTTTCTCCTCCCCCGAGCCAATGGCGGCGCTAGCAGCTCCCCACGTGAGGCAGGCGCCTGTGGAAGGGGCCTAACGCCCGCCCCCTGTGCCTGCCGGAGTGGCGAGCATGCGCAGTGCGGCCGTCGCCGGGGAGGGGCTGCCCAGTGCTTTGGAGTCTGTCCTTCCCCCCCCCCCCCCCACCC